TGCTGGACTGGTTGGGGCACTGGCCTCACTAGTAGCAACCTTGAGGCACCCCAGAAAACAAGGGTGCTTGCGTGCTCATTGGAGCGGAAGGGAGACATATATATATATATATATATATTTTTATCATGTATGATTGGTAATTATCTATTTTTTAAAACATACAAAACATATGAACATTATGTTTCAAAGTCAGTTGAAACCGCCAACCCGATTCGTTGGGAAGGCACTATTCGCCTCCCAAGACTGACTTCGGGTCAGGTGCTTCCGAGAAGAGCTGCAGACCTGGTGGCAGCCAAAGGCTGGCAGCAGACGTTGTGTGGCCCGACACAATGGGTTGGACCGGAGGGAAGACGCATGAAGAAACCGATTGTTGACTGTTGAGTGTTTTACTTCCAATTTTTTTGAGATGTAAAACCATTTTGGTCTTAGGGTGGTATTCATCAACAGTCAACGTACGTAGGTGTGATGGTCCAACTTGTCCTTTAAATCATTTTGGTGGATTGAGGTTCGCCTGGATTCGCCTGAAGGAACTCTTTTACTGGGGAATTCAAAATGTCCGAGAAAGAATCGTCTCACTTCGAAGTGGCTCAAACATGTTCTCGAATCTATTGCTCGCCCGGGTGTTTATAAAGATTCCTATAATATTTTCCGATTTGAAATCATGAGAAAAAAGATTTAAAGGCTTACGCCTGACAGCCGGGCGCCGGCCGGAGAAGGGAGGAGGGCGAAGGAAGGGAAAGGGGCGTGACGGGGGCTTCCGTTACGGTGCTGGTTGCTGTCGTCGCGGTGGTCACCTTTGTGGACGGTGACGGCTGCCCTGGCTTCTTTCCGGAAAACCGCAACCCCGAAAACACCATAAAACACATGGTTTTCGGGGCCTACACCGGTCAACATGCGTCTACGCAAAGAGGCCCAAGTGCTTGAAGCCGCAACCCAGAAAACACCCTAGAACGCATTATTTTCGGTAGGCGCGCAAGTTCCAGAGAGCACAAGCAAAGGCAAAAAGTGCCAACTATGCACGTCCGCTCGGGCTGCTTTTCTCGCACCGAGGCATGTTTGTGAGATGAGGTCCGGTGGATCAGCATAAAAACGGGGTGCACCCACGGCATCAACATTGCTATTTTCATGGGCTCGTGGTGCGAGATATGCTGCCCAAGTGGGTATGCAGTATCAGCATTTGTGCTTTTGGTTAATCGTTTGCTTTCCTCTTCCAGACAAAGATCAACAGCAATAAAGACGACAATAACATCAACGACCACGACAACAACCACACCACCACCACCACCGCCACCACCGCCACCGCCACCGCCAGCACCACCGCCACCACCGCCAACAACAACAACAACAACAATAACGCACAACCTCTGATGGTGGGCCTGCTGGGCGGCCAGCGGGCCCTGCTCGTGGCCAAAGGCCAACGCCGACCACGCTCAGTCACCCGTCTGAAGCCTCACAAACCACTGGGGAGAGCGTCCATCGAGGCATGTTGGTGATGTGAGATGAGGTCCGGTGGATCAGCATAAATACGGGGGCGCCCCACAGCATCAACATTGCTATTTTCATGGCTCGTGGTGCGAGATATGCTGCCGAAGTGGCTATGCAATATCAGCATGTTGTGTTTTTGGTTGCCACCACCACCACCACAACAACAACAACCACCACAACCACAACCACCACAACTACACCAGCAACACCAATGACCACGACAACAACCACAACACCGACAACGACAATACACACGCTTTGATGGTGGGCCTGCTCGCTGGTGGGCGTCAGCCCCTCAAAAAACCTTCGGTTACTACCGAAGGGCACTCCGGGCAGCACACGGGCTTTGGGGCCGGCGCCCGGACTTTTTGGGTTTCACGAAGAGGACCAGAAGGTTTCACACGTTCGTCACAGACCGAGCTGAACGACCGCGGATTGTTCTGCTGTGAAGCTGAACGAGAGCGGTTGACTTCTAGCTGAGAGCAGGAAGGAGGTGGCGCTGTAGTAATGACATGTAGTGGCAACACAAAGAAGTTGGAGGTCCCCATCACTCCTCAAGACTAACCTTGGAGGTCCCCATGACTCCTTGGCCACTAGGGATTGGCCACTGAACTCAGATCGGCCACTGGGGATCCAGCATCGAAGAAAGCACTTTTCAGGATGAGTCAGTGCCAGAAATTCAGACGTGTGAACCAGGAAACTAACATGTTCAAAAAACATCACGTTAAAAGCGCGCCCTTCATGGTTCTTCTATCGTTGTCATCCATGGCCGTGAGTCTGCCCATTCTTCGAGTCCGGATAGGGAAGGTTTAGGAGTTTGGGAGATGTCCAACTTCAGACTGAACACCTGCAGCGTACCTGCACGGTCGCCACGGCATACTCCACGGCCGTGGTCCTGCCAGGGCTTTTGGTGGCGGGCGGTTCCCTCGAAGAACAGTCGCTTGGTCGCTAAACGGGTCGTTTCTCGTGCGCCTTGTGTTGTCTCGGGTACCAGGGCCATAGTTTCCATGCCCAACAAGGGTATCTTAGGGTCACGAGGGTTTTTCAAGAATCTCCCAAGTAAAAGTGGAACTTCCGACCCCATCACATCCCATTTTTCAGTTTAGAGGGTGTGTAGTTTATTTCTGGAAGAATGAACAAATACACCAAAACCCATAAAAAAGCAATTGGTTGGGGATCTCCCCATAGTTATATAATCATATGATCCTTTGAGAGTCCTTGCTTCGCTGTGGTTTTTTACTGTTTACATCGAACAGTACGCGCCTCCGGCGCCACGTTTGAGTGGTCAAGAGTTGAGGAACATCCGCGCGCTCTGAGAGGCTCCATCACAGCCAGAGTGCGCTATTCCCAATTTTTTTGGTATGTGTGTGGGCACTCCAAATTTAAATCCATTGGTGTGTTTGCGTTGTTCAGAAGACATTGACAGAAACCTGCGGGATCCTGCAAAATGGTGAGTTGTAGGCCTCTCCATTGGTGGGTCCCACATGGACTTGAGATGTGGGTCCTCTCGCTGGTATGGCTGTATTGAAATACAGGCTCCCTCTTGGCTTTCTCGATTACCAACAAGGATCCGTAACCACCCTGTCTCAAAGGTGTTTCGTTTGACTGAAGGTTGAATTCCAAGATTTGCAGCTGGTTCCATCCATTCCGTTGGGGCTTTGCTTTCGAAGATGATCACGCGCGTCAGGATGTCCTGAAGGGTGGTTTGCCATTGCCCGGTCATGGCGGTGCACCGGAGTACGGAGGTCAACCTATCCCGGTGAAGGGGATACGGGTGCCGTGACTCACAGCCAGATATATCGTCGACGTTCCTGAAAAGAGTCCGGGGTTCTCCCTATTTTAATATACGTGCACATATATACACCCATAGCAACAGCGATCTACCAAGGACTTTTGGGGTCTATGTCGGATTGTAACTCTTGCTCATCCCTTCTTGTCCCTTTACCTATGTCATGGTACTAACTAGCGGTCTGGCACAGGCGATTGCTCGATCCGATCCATCGGGGCGAGGTTGGTGTCTGAGATCGCTGGCCTTTCCCGCCGCATCGATGATTTGCAACAGTTAATGACAAAGCAGTCTAGCCCAAGAAGGGCAGGGCGCTGACAGCGAGGGTGTATGGCAGGTGCCTCATCTATTCCAAGATGCCGGGTGCCGTCGGAAGAGTTCACTCTGAGCCCGAGCTAGCCAGTATAGCTTTGTGTGTCTTGAAACACAGTCACATTCATGAGACACTAGCCTTTACAACCCAGACAGAGTATTTCTGGTTGGAAACGCCTAAACAATGTATTTGTTTTGGTTTGGATTTATCTGGGATCGCCCGATCATGAAGATCTTTAGGCTACAGGCAGAAAGACTTTTGGATCGATGAGTCTCCTCCTCATCCTATGGATATTGGTCCTCAGTCTCCATCCAGATCCCTTACAAAGAAGCTGTGCAGCTGTACCTTAAAGCATCAGCAGCGCCAAGGTCTAAACGTTCGTCCCCTGAAAGCTCCATCTTCCCTCGGTCACAATTCCTCTTGGATGCGAGTGACGCTCGTTTCTTCTCGTGTTTGCCTTCACCGGTAGCCATGCTGGACCTCGTTTTGATCGCTTTGCTAATGTTTGGTGCCCGTCTGTGTGGGTGAACATGCGGAGTGGCCAAAACGCGGAGCGGATCCGAGCACCACAGGAGGGTGGCGGAGCGAAGGTGCGGACCGAGGGTGCGACCCCTTTCAGGGTTACCACTGGCTTGCCACTTTTGGCCTTTCCGTCGTTTCTGAAGCTTTTCCGCTTTTCCGAAAGGACTTAAGGGAATGAATATGAATCGCATTCCCATGATTCAACAATCTCCTTGTGCGACCTGTTCAGATCAGGACAGTGGGAGATTGGACATGATGTCGATTATGCTGATGTTTGAGTTGATTATACTTTGCAAATTTACAAAATTTGGTCTAAACACTTGGTGATAGGTTGAAAGGGGATGGTTCTCCAATTTCACAACAAGACAAGTCTTAATCCCTTGTTCGGGGGTTTGCCTTTGGGCAGAGTAAGAGGATCTGGAAAAATGGCCTGGCAGCACATGGCTTTTTTTCCAAGCAGTGACCTCTGCAGGAATGATCCCCACCTTTCAGTCTATTGACTTGCAATAACCTGAAGATCATTTTGGGATTCCAGTGAGTCGACTGTCTTCCCTTTGGCCCAAAGGAAGACCACCCATGAAGGCTGCTTTGCCGCAGCCCGCCCCCCCTCCTCCGCATGTGTTTTGGCCCGTTCAGCACAGTGGGACGAGGGTCAGTGCCGTCGAGGTGCCTCACGCATGGAGGCCAACGACTTCTCGGACGTCGAAGCACGTCGAGTGTGAGGGAGATCGTGAAAGGATCATCAATCGTGAAAGGATCATTGTGCTTGTTTTTTGCTTGTTTGTGCTTGACATCTTGACGTTTTGTCTATGGGTTTTGTCAACTGGGATCATGATAGTTACTAATGATATACAATGATACTTTTAAAACACAGACCTCATGGAATGTGAGGGTCAGGGTCAGGGTCAGAACTTCTCCCATGCTTCGGGTGGGCGGAGCTGGACAGACTTCTTCGAGCTTCATGACTCCTGTGCCCAATCAGCCCCGAAGCGAAAAACTAAGGGAGTTGACTATGCAAGGGTGCCAAACCCTACGCCTCCCCTGACCTACCCAGCAAATACGTCGATCACCTGTGATCGTAAAGTTTGTTTGTTTGGACATCGGACAGTCTTTTCCAGAGAAACTGTGCGAGTCAGTGTTTGGACATCGCAATCACACGATGCTGGTGCTTGAGTGTCCTCATATTGCACCATTCGTCGACGAGAAACCACACCAGCTCTACTCACCCTGTCACATATCCCAATATCCGTTTCCGGTGAGCTCTACTCACATTGAGGTAATTAGTTTCCACTAAGATCATCTATAGATCGCATCAGTTCGCATCATGTCACATCCCAAACACGACCAATTCTGCTCCTGCTCCGCCCAAGACGGCATGGCATTTTCTGCGCTCGACCTGTTCCTTCGTTTCCAGGAAGCACCGACCTCTCCACCAAGGCTCCGGCAAACCGGCAGACCGGTCGATGGTGTTCTCTTTCGCTTTGGAAGATAAACAATGTATAGTTGTATAGGAGCCTCTTCGAGTCAATCCAGATTCCATGTCTGAGTTGGCTCTTCAGACATGGTAAGAAGTCGGAGGAAACGGAGACCTCATTGGAAAATGAGATCTTCAGCTCCAAGAAAATGAGATCTTCAGACACGATCTTTCATTTCTTGGCTGTTCTTTTGTTCTCTGAACATTGGAGCTACTGAACGCTATCAGGCCTCAACGAGTTGGCCTTCACGTGACCGCACTCGGCAGGCTCAGAGCTCAAACAGAAGGAGCGACGCTCCGAGGTGCAACCGGGCGGCCTCGGTGGAGAACAGACCATGAAGGTGAAAAAAAAGCATCAAAAGGCTCCAGTAGGTCGGAGCCTTTTTTGGATGCGTCATTAAGATGAATTAAGGTAAAGATGATTAAACATGTTAAGTTTCCCTAACAATCTAGGAACCACATGAATAGCGTACTAGTAGCTAGTAGCTTACTAGTTACTAGTCCCTTACTTAATTAAGTAGGCGCCTACTTAATTAAGTAGGGAGGGGGGAGCGGACTTTTAAACACAGTATATAAAACATTATTAAAAAGAACAACAAGAACAAGACACACACACATATCAAGAATTTGGAGTCCGGAAGCTTCTCCTCCCATCCCGGTTCCGGGCCACATCGGCGAGGGTATGGGGAGATGATCGGGGAAGAGAACTTCCAGCCATGTGGTGATCTATCACTTCCTAATTTGTTCTAGTTCCAGTTTTTGGAAGAGTTTGTTGAGAGTCTGACGTGGTGTTCCAGCTCTATGGTAGGGGTCTCAGGGTTATGGAGCTTCCAAGTTCAGATCAAGCTGGGTACCTTCCCGCCAAGATGTACCAAGCTCCTCAGCAGAGAGTCCAGCGAATCTGGGGTGCTTCCAGAAGTTCCTGCCACTGATCTAGAACCATCCTGGAGCAGACAGAATATGAATGAATATGATACTTGTACACCATCATAAAATGTACCTATAGCACTTCCAATGGGTGCCCAATGGAGACCTATAAGTCGGGTATGGTAGTCCATTGGATACCCATTGGATGGTCCTGGTATATAGATTCTTAAAACGTGATCAGATGTCCATTGGTTTGGGATTTTCCCCTCTTCCACCTACTTCAGAATAATCTCCATAGATGCTTGTAAGTATCAAGGCATCAACTAGTGCCATCAGGTCCCATCTTCCTTTTGTTTGCGCCATGTTCATACCCTTAAAACCTCTTCTTTGGGGTGCCCGGTCACCGTCACCGGTGTGTTTTCATCGATGACCGAGACTTCGCCCTTTCGACGTCGCCCCGTGTTTGCCGGCGTCCGATCGCTCCGTTCAGAAGAGTTCAGGAGACATGTGACGATGATGTGCATGATTTTAGGAGCGATGTGTTGGTTTTGGGTGTCCAATGTGACGACGATGTGCATGATTTTGTGCATGTCACTCTCTCTCTCTCTCTCTATTTAGGCTTTACTCAAGTAGTCTATGGCATGCTCTATTTGCTTGTCTATTATCAGCATTCGCTTGTGAACGAGATAGGGCCCCCACGTAAACGAGTTTTTTTGCTTGATGACACTAAAGTAGTCTGAACGAGATAGTGTGATTTGCTACTAAAGTAGTCTGAACGAGATACTGTGACATGACATCCTACTTAAATAATCTTAATTAGTATATAGTCTAAACCAGATAGGGCCCCACATAATACATGGTGTATTTCAGTTTAGTACCAAATAAATGCCGCCGCATATATATGTATACAGTATACACGTTATTTTCCTGAGCACAGCAATAGGCTATCAATTCTACTTGCATGCCCTTGTTTTCGCAGGTCGTCCTCGACTTAGACTGGAAGCAGCTTGGCATTTGTTGGAGCCACATTTTGTGAGTCTTTAACCTTGCACCGGTCGATAAGATACTCGTACCCTTCGGATTTGCTGAAGATTGTGAACGGATGGACGAGTTTCTACAAAACCCTATCCCTTCCAATGACTTTCCAAACAAGGTGGCTCTCAACAGAGGCAATTCCAGATGGCCGAGAACTGACATGTGTGAGGGCAGCGACAGAAATCAGAATCAACAGGAATCAAGTAAGAAAGTGATACAAACCGGTAGGCCATTAGGTCAACAATCGCAGAAACGATGATAGGGTATGCGAAGATGAGGTCATCACGTTTAAGAAATTCAGGTCGTCGTAGTTTTGCACTTCGACCGTTGCGTAGGAACTTTTCCCAACAAGCCATGGTTTCGTGTACATGTTACTAAAAAAGAGCTTGCTTTTCCGTTGCTTCCGTTGCTTCCGTTGCAAATTCCCGCTTCCGCTTGGGAGGAGTCTGTTTCTCCACCATGTGGAGTCGTTCAGGTGATCGGTTCGAGCTGATCGGTTCGTCGGGGTTCAACTGCTGGAAGCGAACGAATATGTATCTGTCCCTCTCGGAGACGATCGGACGCCTATGTCAAGGGGCTCTGGCCTGGCCTTACTAGGAGCAAGAGGACGCTACGAACGGAACAAGGGCATCGCTACTAGTAACAAGGTACAATATATATATATATATATATCTCTCTCTCTCTCTCCCCAAGCCGGGCCAGTTTCCAGCCTGGTACGTCACAAGGGGCATAGGTCAGTGGGCGCATGGCGCAGCCGGGCTGTTTTTCTGATGTTCTGTACGTCGCTGGGGGGAAGGACTGGGAGGATGGGTGCCAATTCCCCATTCTTATTGAAAGTCACACAGTCGGAACCAGCTTTTTGGTGCTTTCCCCACCAAGCAACACACAAAAACACGTCTGCAGACGGGATTTCATCGGATTTTGGGCACCAAAAGTGGACCATTTCGATCGGGTTGGTCGGACCCGGGACCCTCCTCCGAGGAAATTGCCGAGCATCGCGCTCGGGCGCTCGGGCGCGTACCGGCGCGTACCGGCGGCGGTTTTGATGCCGAAGCAAGAACAACGCAACGACTGGCGGACTCATGGACTCAAAAACACGGCCGTGTTGTAAACACACATATTGTCAAGTCTAAACATGTTTGTTGACTTCATGCGAGCAAATGAGCGTGATAACCGGGAGCTGTAAATACACCAACTCAAAAGGTCTTAATTGAACAATGAGTTTGTGAATTGAAATTGAATGCCACCTGTGAGATCTTTGCAGCTATTTAGGATGCGATCTTATCTTCTCTCCTTGAGAAACTGGCTGGTGACAAAAGCATGCTTTAATTTAGCAAAGGACCCAAAGCAAACAAACAGTGCATCCCATTTCAGATGTGCCAGCAAGCATCTTCATGTTGCGCCTTTAAACATGACAGAGGCTTTTATGGCTCAACACTCCCTTGCTAAGGCCTTCTTTCTTTGATACTGCAACAGAGGTACCTCAACGCACCATTCACCCTCTGGACCACGAATCAGGTCGTCAAGAGCGGTGTGCGGGTCCTGCGTCGGCGCTGGGCCGCGGAGGCAGGTTCCTGATCCGCAGTGCAGTATATAATGAAACCATATAAAACCGATTGAAACTGATGATGCAAACCCATTTGGTGATTTATTTGCTATATACAAGTATCATAGTCCCTGTCCCCACCATGTGCGGAAGACCTTCTAATCAATCCGAATCCTGTAGCTGCCACACAGGGGGTGAAATCACTCCACCTTTGATTTCCAGGGAATGATATCGTCTTGCTGGTTGGGGGCTCAAAGCAAGGAAGACCAGACGCGAATCCTATTGGTATGCATTGTTGGAACCGGAAGTGGTTGGCAGGAGCAGTGTAAGACCCTATTTCCAAGTTCTTTGGGTTCCTATTTTTGGGTGGGAACATCTCATGTAAAACCTGTTTTGGCATTGTTTGAGTGTCTGGTGAACTGTCGTCAGTGAGTGACTGGGTGGTTTTCTCGGACTCATCTTTTCATATCGTTTCCTTCTGAAGAAGTTGATTTGCTAGTTGACACTAGTTATTAAGGGTAGCCCAGAAAGCTCAACGTCGGTTTTTAGGCGTGCAGATGCAAACAGGCTATTTGGAGAGTGGCCTTTGGTGGTTTGGTAGGTAGATTTGCAAACAGGATTCTCAAGCTATTTCTCCAAAGACATATCTCAAACCTTGTCGCTTCAGTTTTATATTTGGACGATCGAACGCTTGGCGTCTTCCAACTTGGCATGCACGTCAGATATCGCGTCCTGCCACTTTGGCTCGGCAAGCTGTACATGGATCCTGGTTGGGAAGGAAAGACTAGAATGACTAGTGTTGCATTTGCCAATCTTTTTCTTTTCAAGATCTTGCATCATAATAGATTATATATAATATATGTATAGACGTAAATACACTGCAGGCTTAAACTCCAAGAAGAGCATTCCCCCATTGCTTGTTGCATATGCCTCCAACTTGTTTTGGTCTTGGCTTAGTATTGTCCATGGCCAGTGGCATTGGCCATTTCCGACGTATGAGTGGCCAGACAACCTCACAACCACCTGGAAGTTGTTCATAACCCGGGTGTCGAGGACGTTTTCACATGTCCAACACATTTGAAGGACCTGTTCTTTCAATGATTCACATAGAACCCCGTATATCTCCTTCCTATCTCGGCTTCACTTATCTTTTATAGTCGGAGGTTGCTCATTTACTCAGAGGGACTACGAAACATCGTTTCTTTCAAACACATGAACAACAACACTTCCCCTTTCTCCGCCCTTGGGAACGACATCAGCTGAGCAGCGCTGCCGCCATGGCATACCGTCAGATCGCTGTCACAACAACGACCGCGTTGACCTTGCTTTGTGCAGTCACGCTACATGGCTGTGGTGACTGCAGGCCTGACAGAGTATTTTTCACATCCTCATGCTGGCGAGCCAGACATAGCCAGACTGGAGATTCTGGCCATGCTGGCCGATGGTGGATATCATAGGCTAAGCACCCATGCTCTCGCATGCATACAGATCCATTCTGTTAGGAAACAACCCACCCGTGCAGAGTGTTGTATTTTCTGGTTGACCAGAGCTGCAAGGTTCACCCATAGGCTGCAAGGTTCACCAGATGGTTGGCAATTATACAAGAAGCTGAAACCGACAAGAGTTAAGCTTCGGCATGATTCGGGGAGCACCTAAAAGCGACACCATCGGACGCCTGAAATGTTTCTTTGCAACCAGAGATCCAGGTGGCTTCTTGCAACCATGTTCCTTAAGCTTTTCAATCTGCGAGGCAGCAACACACGCTGAACCGACCTACCAGGTTTGAAATGGATGGACATCAATGGACATCCAGAAACAGTCACAAGGAGTCACAAGTCAAATCTCACAATGTGAGACATTTTTCGTATCCCAAATCCACCATTTTTTCCGTGACACGAACTCATTCCCTCGCGGCCCTGCTTCAGTTTCGGCGAGTCGCGACAGTGCTACCTGGATGGGCAGACAGAGGCGAAGGAGTGGTCGCTTCGACGGTCCGTCTGCGCTTGGTTTTTCGGTTTGGTGCGGGAAGAAATTCAGCGGTCGGCGGTTCCGGTGGCACGGTCTGCCCATGATGACTATCACGTGCCGGTGTCTGGCAATATGCGATGACCGGACAGACAAGCACCGACCGCGTGTTCCCCGGGGTGGAAACGGGTTCAGCACCGAAAAAAGGGCGGGTCTCTCGTAGGTGGGGGAACCACCTGCAGGACGCAGTCCGTGTGGTTCGACCAAACCATTCGGCCCAACCGTGGCCGAACGACGCGACCCGAGAGGGGTCGGCCCCGAATCCTCTGGAGGTGTCGGACCCGAATCCGAACTGGTCAGGGGTCGGACCGGGTCGAAGTCATCCCGATCGGGAACTGGTTCGGGACCGGAAGTAGGGCTGGTGAACGGAGCGTCTGGGCAAACAGATGGTTTTCATTCCACTTCCATGATTGTTTCGAGTGTAGATCCAGTGGATCCTGCACTTGTTTTTGTTGGAAGGGTGCCAGAAGTTCCAAAGTCACCTCAGTAGCCACACTAAGACTTGCGAAGGTGCCTTGGCAGAAATTATGAGAAGCAGATGAATTGACTATTTCATTTGGTGTATTTCCCTCCCATTTGGCAAACCTTGTGCCCTGGTCAAGCTGGTAACCTGGTTTGTCCCATGTGACCGCTAGTCCTCACTTTGACTGTTCTCCGGTTCTCCAGTCCGTCCGATTCGCAGCCCGATGGAGAGACCCCAAACCCTGTGGATGGGCAAACCATGTCTATCCATGTTGGATGACGTTGGTGCTTTCGTTGGTTCTTTGGGGTATGTCAAGAGCAGGGAATCTCACTGTGTTCGACGTCCTCTCCAATACGTCAATGCCATGTGTTATGCCAAGGTTTGAAGTATAGTTTCAGAAATCACAAAGCAACCATCCAACTTGTGTTTTGTGCAATATGTGTGTCATTTTCAGGCCTCTGTAAACAAGAGGGTAAATTATTATCTAGAGATCATGAACAGGAACAAACCATATCTTGCTAAGGTGTTCGGGGTTCAGATGATTGAATTGTGTGGATCTTTGTCCGTTAAAAGCAGTCAATCATTCAGAGTTCAGTCTGAATTCGTTGTCCAGTCCCGTTATACAATTTTATTGCTTAAGGAATGATCACCGACTATTCTACCTGTCACTGCCTGTAGTTATGTCACGAGTTGAACCAAGTTCCGCAGGAGGAGTGCAAACGACTGGCGAATGATGTGGCCCAAGAGGGGCAGAAGGCCTACGAGAAGGGCTATGAGGACACTGAGCACAAACAGTCGGTTCATTGGATGTTGTTCGACCGGACAATCTGAAGAAAAGCCTTTTGTTTGGAACATGTATATTGCATATATATATATAATGTATACCAGGATCATCCAATGGGTGTCCAATAGACTACCCTACCCTACTTACAGGTCTCCATTAGGAACCCGTTGGCTGCTAGGTATAAATAATGCACTTTCCCTGTTGACTTTCCTGCAGGCACATTCTATGCGGGGTTTCTCTGTATATGACGCAGACCCATATTGCTAGGGTCAAGCAAAATAGAACAGTCGACACTTTCGTTCGTGAACTGTCCAAAGCGTGGCTTTTTGGGGGTCAAGGGTGAGTCCACATGTCAGGGACTTTGTCAAAGAGATGCAATCATTGGTTCACAAAAGAGGTTTTCACCACGAGGATTCACCAAATGTCAATGCTTGGCGGGTCATCAACTTAGCTTTACTTCCATGTTTGTTCTCCACTTAAAGCAGGCGCAGGCAGGCGCGCTGCACTGCGTGCAGCTGAGTGTGCTTGCTTTGTGGGTCAGACATGCCTTTTTATCACTTCACTTGCTGTTGCAGGATATATCAAGCGACGCCCGTAACGACTCAACAAGGAGCATGGAATATCCAAATGCATGTTGGTGTCTTTGTTCGAGAATTCGCCTGTAGGCCTGAAGAGTAGCGCCCAAGGGGACCCGACCACGACCTCTTCAGGACGGCTACAAGAGTGGCTTCAAACATCGTGGGCACAGCTACACGTGGCTCGTGTGGCTACGTGATTTGTACCTCGGCTGACCTCGTGTATTGGTGTCCCAGCAAGATTGGTTTGCCGCATGGTGGAAGTCACTTGCTGATAGTAGCAGTTTTGCAAGCATGAAATTGTTTTTGATGGGAGCCAGAGGTTTCATACAGTTTGGGTTCATATACAGTTGGTTTTTGTTCATGCCTGCTTCGATGTTGTAATTTGATTTTTGTTTCCATGATGTGTTTTTTTTCAGCCTGGTGGTGTGAAGCAATACAGTCAGACTTCGTGGCATTTGGTCCCTGTTGAGCCACTGTGTTGCCCTCAGCGTTGTACCATGCACCTATGTTTGAAGCAGTGGGAGCATTGTGTCCTCCGTTGCATGGGAAAATCGACCTTAAAATGAGCCGGGATGAGGCACAAGACATGAGAACTAGAGTGTTTACTATGGCTCCAGATTTTGGAGGACTACGAGACTACCCCGAGGATTCCTGGTTTGGGAGTGAAGTGGTTTCTTGGATCCCACGTTCAAGATTGTTGTTCAACAGGGCCACACCATGCATGCAGTAGATTCTTGCAGTACTGGTAGTTGAAGTGGCCCGGGATCCTTGGTTGTACATGGAGTCGTTGTGGCCGCTACAGCACCGGTGTTTGAAAACTCAATTGTCAAGGGATCTTCGCTAGGTCTTGATTTCTTTTGCTTGATATAGCAAAGACCTCAGTTCATTTCAACCTAGATGGCAAGAGTGGTAGAACTGTTTAGCTCACCCTCGCCGGTTTGACCAGCAGCAATCCTGATGTTTAGCTGGTGATGCAAGTAGAAATAAGATGAAATAAGTACAAGTAAAAACATATAGAAACACGTAGAAAACAAGTACAAGTATACCTTCAAAAGATCACACGTGGATGCCTTGCTCGCCTGGGGATGCTCGCCTAGTCCGGGGTGGTATAGTGCGGTTTTTCATTGGGTTTCAACCCAGTCGAACCGTTGAAGCGGTCAAACGATAAAGGTCTGTTTGGCATGCAACCAATGAAAGCACAGAGAGAGATCAGATAGGCTAGATAGGCTCGACCAGCATGTTCTGCACCTGCAGGAGAACGGGTCGCTATATCTTGCGAAGTTTACATTTGTGTATTCGTAATTTTTGTTTGGGACCTGTGGACTGAACAACCGATGGGCCCAACATAATCGATGACAAGGTCTCCAGGATGAAGCTATTGTCTTCCAGTCCCATTAGGCTCAAGTTTTCCCACATCCAAAGGCCTAAAGGGTGAAGGAACATGCGATGTTGCGATGTGCTTCTTTTCCCCTAAACACTGTGGTCACACGAACGGGGTTCAGCACCGGTAGTAGTGTGACCACACCGGTGTCGAACCGGGATCAGATTCCGTCCGCTCTTTTCGGCGAAAACGCGGCTAGCAAGCCGGTCCGATGTGGGAAGCCGTGCGTCCGCGGCTTGGGCTTTTTCTTCCACCGGGGGGACCGGCTGAGGATTATGGAATTCATGTTTATCATTGCGGCGGTCCTGACGTCAGACACTTAGATTTGTGAACCAGCATCTGGCCAGGTTCACGCGAGGTGCAGACCATGATAGACCCTCTTAATTAATTACTGCAGCCAGGGCCCGACAAAGCTCCAAGAACTGTCTCAGACATCAAATAGAATGCAACAGAAACCAGACTCTGACTGACTGCAACAAGAACAGTTCATTGTCTATCTAGACATGTTCCATTGAAAAAAACCGTTTGCCAATGTGTAGAAAGACAACGACTACCCACAACGACTTGGAACGGCCACAACGTCGGATCACCTCGTGAAAGCCCACCGTTTCGTTCGTCGTCCTTCGTTCGTTCGTCGTTTCGGCCCCGGCCCAGCGAGACAGGATTGGCCTTCTGATCGGACACTTCAAAGTGGCCGATAGCGAGACCGCTGGGGGGTCACGCGGGATCACCGAGAGCGGATCTCCGAGAGATGGTTGGTTGTGTGTGTGGAGTTGGAGGGGTTGATGTGGAAAACATTCCAGCGATTGAGGAAATTATCGGAAGATCCGGAGTGTGTTGCTGATGTTGCTGTGGAAGGCAGTTTCCGCGAACTGGATGTTTTGGTTTTAATTTGGAAGCCAGTTACGAGAACCTCAGGCTTTCGGTCGGTGTGAGACGTGGTTGCTGTGGATGTGAGGTGATTGCTGTGGGTTTCACACCCTAAGTGTGACAGAAATGACTACGCTTTCGCATGTGTCTCGAAACAGGATAAACGACTTACAAAACTATATGGACATCCAGTATTTCCTGATCAAGATTTTTTGACCACATTGTTGAGACAGCCGATGAGCATCTCGTTTGCTGGTTGAGTGCATCCCTTTCAGTTCAAGGACAAAGTTAACTATATTGTATATATAGTATGATTCTACAAAAACATACATTAAGTATAATGATGAACACAATAGCAATATAGTATTATATAATGTTGACTTGATTTACTCAAAAAAGAACGTAAATCCATTCTGGTAGGACGGAGGGATTTTATCAATAAACAGTCGCCATTAACCCATTCTGATGCAATCATTGGAATCACATGGAACTGGGTAATCTCCCTGGTATTTGGGATGGTCGAAGTACAAATATGTCGGTGTCCTGAACACCTACCCAACGACATTCAACCCAATGCCATGGCCGTAATGTTCACCATGGGCCCAGTTTCGTGTCAACCCAAGATCAAGGAGACCAGATCCCCTTGTAGCGAACGCATCGTAACCGTTACGTGGATGGCATGTTTCCAAAAAGGAAGACCACTTTCCTTTTCAAAAAGGGGTTTCCATCCACGGACGGACCCCTGGCGCCCCGACTTGACGAGGACCTTAGCCACGAGCTCCCAACCAGCAAAGCTGCTGCGACGGAGGCCGAGCAGCCGGGACGGGGAGGTGCGGGGGGGTTTTGGATGGCTTTGGTGTTGGGTCTTCATGTTCAAAGCAAGAGGAGGATGAGGTTGAGGTTGGTCTCCATCGTTTTTTCCACCTGCGTATGCAACAAGCATCAACGAGATACACAAGCACAGCGACGGATTTTGCTTGCTTTCAGACGAAATTCACCTGAATTCCCAAGATCGGACACGGATTGACAACACAGTGCCCCCTAAATGGATCAGGCACCCAAGATTGGAGCACTGTCAGAATCCTCTCTTTGGGGTCTTGAACGGACTGCACGTGTGCGTCCTCAATTCTTGTTTTTTGTTCACAAGACATACACCATTATCATGTATGATCTCTGGCGCTGGATGCAGATCAAAGAGATGATGATTATCTCTTAAAACCATATTGTTGTGAATTTGGGATTACATTGGTGTTTGATTCGGGATCAGGTGCTGACCATAGACGTTTGGGTCACCGACGTCTGGTACTACTCGTAGGTGGGCCAACGGGTTGTGCCCTGTGCCAACTCATGTTTAACGCCTTCAACTTCTGATCGTGCAATCATTTGTCCACTGGCCCCAAGCAAAAGTAAGCCACTGGGCCAACGGGGACCTTGCTTTCGGCAGTGCCATGCAGTGCAAATGCAATGACAATGTAGACTCTTGACACATAAAATATGAACATGCCATAATCAAACACCCTCCTGCCTGAAGAGGCTTTACATTTGCAGATGTCTGTGTTCCACCCTTTCTTTTCGGAGAACATCATCGGTGTAGCGCACCTGCCGGTTATTTTTTGGTGCGCCGCGGGGGGAGCCAAATGCAGCCGCATCCGCGTCGATTTGCGTCCAGCGGTGGAAGGACGGTGCTGGGGCTGGAGCATATCGGTGTCTTGAAGGGCGAGGAATACCACACGCAGCAGCAGGAGACGGTCCCCGCGCTTGCCAGGCAATGAAACAGCAAGCATGATGCGAAAGGCATCGAAAGGCGTAATGCCAACACCGGATTAATCAACCCCCCCTTCAAGGTCAACAAGGTCAACAAGGTCTGGGATTGGAGGGATTGGAGACCACATCCCCTTAATAAAGATGATGACCTGATGATGCATGATGAGATGAGGAACTGGTCCTGATGATGGTTGATTGGGATGATGAGGAAAAGAAAGAGGATTGCAGGATGAAAGAGATTGAAGACAAGATGGAGGCCAGAGGGAATAGGGGGAGGGGCCCTACTATTAGAGGGAGGTAGGGCTTGTGTGAGGGGGTACCCTTTGTGAGCTTGAACACCTTAAGATTTTGATAGAGTTTTAATAAGGGAAAATGAAAGAATTTTGCTAGTGAGTTTTTTGTGTTTTAACAGGGAAGGATGGAAATGCTATCTGGCATGAGACAACGGTGGATCAGAAGATCAGTTTCACCATGGACCAGAAGATATTGGAAACTAGCCAAAAAGAACATATCAATAAACAACTATATATATATATATATATTTGTTTTTCTGGGGCAGCTGGGCTTGATTAATATATAGGTGGGTTCTGGCAAGGAACACAAATTATCAGAGAAAGGTTGCAGGGTTTTAATTCGTTTAGTATTGGAGGCTCCAGCTGGGCTTGATGAATAAGGGGGGGTTGCTTAATCCTGTGTGCGCATTAAAGGTGTGGCCCGGTGGAGACCCCGTTTGGTTGTTTTTTTCTTTAAGAGGCTGAAGGCCGGTGAAGGTCAGGGTGGATGGGTTTGGGGAATTGGAGTCGATTTCGGAGCTAGGTCCAGGTACAGGTTTCCTCAAGTGTTCCCAGTTGCCCACTCCCTCAAAGGTCCTAAAGCATCCTAACCCTACAAGTCCAGTCTGACCCAGTAAAACCTGGTCTTTTGCCTCCTTAAGTATTGGTTTTGTATGACAATCTCCTGTCAAGTGAGGTCTGACTTGTAGGTTATAAGGTCTTTGACATCAAATTCTTCATGGATCCAGCCTCAGATCTCAGAGATGAAAGGGTCCATCAATCCATCCTTCTATATATCATGGTCGGTCGGTTGGTCCATCAACCTTTGTGTACAATCGAAAGGGTCCTCCAATGCAGTTGGTTCAATTACACAAAGTATGTTGGGTCCTCCAATGCAGTTGGTTCTTGGGTCCTCCATTGCAGTTGGTCCTCCAATGCAGTTGGTTCATCTTTTAAGCACCTGCAATATCCTGCTTCAGTGTCTGGAAGCCGCTTCAGTCAGAGCGCTGGACTAAGCAACAAGACTCCGTGGACTGGGTGTGCGCAGCTGTTTCGGCAAACTGCTTGGGATTGAAGGGTTCGAACCTCGTGCAGTGCCCATATGGATCCCACTATATTCGAAAGCAGGAGGTAACGTCCGTGGATCCTTACTCTTCATGGAAGAAATCCTTGTAAGCAACGCAGGTATTCCTGTGCATACTTGCATATATTTCCGTCACCTGCAGGTGAAGAGGAAGAAACTTCCATCCACTGGAGGGGTCCTCAGACTTCCACGTCACTCATCGAGCCCAAAACATCCGCGTCCAGGAGCAACATCGAGCCTTGATCTCTGAACTCACCACCTGACCAGCCGGTCCAGCGCTCAACCAAAAGCGCTCGTCCAGCAGAGCGGTCGCATAAAATTGGGGACATGGGGGGTTCGCGGAGGATGGCGGAGGGATGTTTGAGCATGTAGAAGTGATGCAGAAGTGATGCAGACTGAGATAGCAGTTACTTGGTTTCTTGCAGTTGTTTGGCTTTTGTGTTTCAGGAACCGCCTGTTCTGAGCTGGTTGTCATGTTTTTTCAACAGCAGTGCAGTGTCTCAACGGGACAACATAGGTGGATCTTCGTCAACGCTGGTTTCGTTGCAGAAACTCCTTTCGCGTCGAACAGACCCCGTGCACCCGCTGAACAAACGCGCCCCCCATTACTGCGAGTCGAGCGTTGGGGCAGGTGTGTGAGCTACCGCCCTTGCCGAAGCGGCCACTTGGGGCACGGTGTTGTGGGATCTGATGGGTTAGGGCTGGAAGCGACGGATCTGGGGGGGTGGGGGTGGATAGCTCAATCCAGGTTGGTGAGTTGGTTATATAGTTAGGGCAAATTCCGTTGCTGGGGCGGGGACGATGTTCATTCATCCGATTTCATCCTCACGATCCTCAGCTCTGATTGAGGAGGTGTGAGGTGTTTAGCTTTGAAAGACACTGCTTCAAATCAAGTCTCGCTCATGGCCTACCCAGTGACACCATGTGGGTCCGGAGTTACCGCCTGGCTGATGCTTTAAGATAGATTATGGTAGTGATAGATTTATGATATATGGTTTGTTGATCTTTTTGCGCAGACGATGGCACCCAGGCAGTTTGGCCGCCTTTCTCGGCCAATCTTTTTCAGTCCAATGCTGGGCGACCTCAGGTGACAACCTGCCAGAACACACCCGGGTGTGTCTTGGAACCATATACCTTTGACGCCCAATATCAGTTTCCGCCTCCTTGTTACCTGTCATCCGATGCCTTTCGTCGCCGAATTTCTGCGAACGGCGAGAGCTGAGCGGAGGATGTCCCGCTTTCGTCGAAGGCCCAATGGATCTCCGATGCTACTCGGTAGCGCTCAGTCCTTTTTCAAGCGTCTGCTCTCCCAGCAGGCGCCTTCGCGAAGGGCCGAACCGCGGCTGAACTCGGTTCCGAAGAGTCGGGGGGAAGGAGTGAATTCTGCCCGTCGGCGGTCCGGAACCGCTTGGGGGGGGCTGGCCACCCAGCGCCTGTCCGGTCGTCTCTGGTCCGGACATCCAGCTGATGTATGTTGGGGTTTAAACATGTTAAAACCGGAAAACACATGATGTGGGGGGGGGGGGAGAAAAGCAGACATCCTGTTCAGGGAAAATGGTGGCGGCTTCTGGACATCCCATTGAATTGATTTGTTGAACTGGAGCCACGGATTCATTACGGATCCATTTCATCCAATTGAGAGATGTCCTCAAGCAGAGAACAGGCCCCAACATGCAAGTTCTTATGGATCTCTTTTTGTGAGGCGGCCAAGGCGTTGGTTTGGCCGGAGTTGGACATTGGCATAATCACAATCACTTGATCAAACTTTATCACAGAACGTATCACAGAACGTATCACAAGATACACCACTAAATGACCTTGTCACTTACAAGCAATGTGCAGAGAATACTCTTGAGTACAGTAATTACAGACAACTAAGATGGTGGTCCCTAAAACCCTATTTAACATGTGGCTGTGATTGGCTGTGTGTCTAAACCGACCAAACAAACCACGACAGGACGGGTAAATCATTTGAAGGCATTCCAGGCAACAGGAGGGCCTCACCCTGACTGGTCGAGCTGCCTCGCTCCGTTGCCCCCCGCTCGGCGACCGCCCGGCAGCTCGAGCTTCAAACTTCTTTGCCCTCGGACGTGTCCGCAGCGCAGCGGGACATTAGGCGAGGGCAGCGCACTTGTTGTTGCGCTCTTTTTTGCGTCGGGCGGAAGCCGTTCTGCTAGCGCTCGAGTTCCTTTTTAGGTTTTCGTAGCTCGCAACGTGAAGAAGGCTGACCCTGAGTTCGGCGCCAGGTCTCCTGCGAAGCATTTGCACCCCATCCTCCCAAAACCCGACAGACTAAACTTGATGACAGTTTTTGACGGCGTCCAAGATTATGAACCAAGCAATCTATTTGTTCAAGCAAGGTGAGTGGGGTCGGCGGTAACCTGCTTCAACCTTCAATTCTTTGCCAATTACACTCCAAGACTGCAGGTCATGTAGACACCTAGGGTAACTGGAGTCTCTTTCAAATGTCAATGGGCGTATTTATGATTGATCGGCAATCGACGAGCTTCCAGGAAGCTGTCGGTTTTGGTCGTCTCACCGAAACACAGAGGGGTCCGGACCCGAAAAAAGGCACGCCCTTTCAATTGGTCCGGGCCCGGATTCATAGAGTAGGACAACTGA